TAGTAGAAGTTACTTGAAACTCAACCAATTTAGACTTCATTTAGCTTGTTTAAACAATAGTATCTCGGTGGTTGATTCAATGCCTCTCTTGGGTTCGACTCTTTCTTACCCTTGCTATTAGTTAGTGAGACCAAGATAGGAATTATCTTTGGTAGGCTCGACGACGGCCTATCATGTCTACAGAAAATAACTGAAGAACAAGGCAAAAAGTTAGGGTTTGTACTTTTTTCCTTCGCAAAATAAATAAAAATAACTTACAATTTGATTTTCGACCTTTCTTTAAAAAAAATTCCTTTGATTTTGTGATTCCATCCTTTAAATTCAATGTTTTAGTTGAGATCGAAGAGAATTTTAATTTTTTTTCCAAGAGAAGTTTGGGAGATTTTGGTAGTTTAGGAGAGAGAAAATGGAGTGAAAAAGTGAGGAGAGTGGGTAAAATTTGAGGAGAGAGAAAATGTAGTATAAATATTTTTTTTATATCATTTTTATGAGGAGAGAGATAAGGGGATGTTTTTTTTTTCTCAACCTGATTGTAGTTACTTGGGGAGGGAGGGGGGTGTAGGTGTTAATACCTATACTTGGGTGTAGGTATTGGGGGAGGGCGCTTATTCTTTGCGTGGGCTTGCTGAAAACAGGCCTAACACAGTCCCGTTGACAACTCTAGTTTGAGTCAAGTCATTAAGGTGTTAGTACCTATACTTGGGTGTAGGTATTGGGGGAAGGCGCTTATAATTTGTGTCGGCTTGCTGAAAATAGGCCCAACACAGTCTCGTTGACAATTCTAGTTTGAGTCGAGTCATTCTGTATAAAGTCTATAAATATAAGGGGATGTTTTTTTTTTCAACATGATTGTAGTTATTTGGGGAGGGGGGGGGGGTGTAGGTGTTAGTTCTTATACTTGGGTGTAGGTATTTGGGGAGGGCGCTTATTCTTTGTGTGGGCTTGCTGAAAACGGGCCCAACACGGTCCCGTTGACAACTCTAGTTTGAGTCGAGTCATTAAGGCGTTAGTACAACAATACACAAAACATAGATTTTAAAAAAAAAATCATTGCTAGTATTACACCTTTATATTTACTACTTTATTTTACATAATAATTTTAATATAAAAAAGTATACAAGTAAACAATTTTATTTTTTAAATATATAGATGTGGGTATAAGATGAGGATGGGGTGCGTACGAAGTGGGGTGGGTGGAGCGGGGCAGGTACAACCTAATATCCATCCCTACCCCATCACCCATGGGGGTTATAGTTTTTATCCCCATCTCATCCCCGCCACATCACCCATGGGGGTTATGATTTTTATCCCCATTTTATCCGCGCCCCACCACCCGCCAAATCGGGATCCATCCCAGCCAAACCATTGGAGCAGGGATGAGGCGGGTCTCCTACTTGATCCGCCCCACTGATATTCCTACAATAGGACACTTAAAATAAAACAGAAGGAATGCATATATAATGAAAATTCCACAATAGCAGCATGTGCATGAGGGTGCACGGCCACCCCGTATCCGAAACAATAACTCAAACCGCAGGATGCCGTATCAAAAACAAGAAGCAAGCTACGAGTAGTATGAAGTTCCAATAGATACAGTAATGATGTAGAGCAGGGTACACAATACGATGCGAAAACAAGGAAGTGCACGCTCGTAGAGGAGCAAGTAGTGTGAGAAAAGAAGACAAATTAAATAAATCTGGGTTTGTAGTAGTAGAGGGTTTTTTCTGTAGTTTTTTGGAAGACTAAATTCCCAAGTCAGACGGCAATAATAAAAAGCCTGCACCTATTCTGTTTACCTATTGCATTGATATTATAATTACCTCATGGATCTTTTTTTTTTTGGGTGCAAAGTTGTAAACCTAAAGGATCCATGATTTCATATAATGTGTACTAATTAATGTACTATGTGACTAAATGTGAATATTTATGAGCAATGGTTAATTTTTGATGTGCAATGGAGACCGGAGAGTTGGTGATGGTGAAATAACTATTCACAAGTTAATGTAAAGAACGAGATTAGGACTTAGGGTGCTCATTCAAGTTTAATAAGACTAGGTAAGATCCCATGTCATATACGATAATTTTTAATACTAATCATTAGTTTAACGCTACAGAGTACTATTTAATTATAAAAATTAATGTCTAATTGCAAAATAGGATGAAAGTTTTGTATTACAATATATATATACAAATATATACACTTAAGAAAACAGAGGGAGAAATACATGCACGACTAATAAAAATAGCTATAGATAACATCACAAAGTATAGTTAGGAAAATATTATTGCATAGCATCACAAATTCTCCAAAAAGGCGCGTGTACGTTAATTTATTGTAAAACAGGTTAAACTTATGTTAAAAGTACTTAAAGTTACCCTTTATACTGCAAAAATTATTATTTTTCTATCAATAAATTTTATCTTACATAAAACTTATAATAAATTATATTAATCATATTAGTCTTTATACTATGTAATCACGTATTTGTAAGAAATTACACATTAAAATAAAATTCAAAAAAACGACAAATTAAAAGTTACCTTTTAAGTGGTTAAAGTTACCATAAAAATAATTAAAGTTACGCTCTAACTGACCGTTTACAATAAAATTATGTACACCCGTTGTACACAAGTCTTATTTGCATAGTATTGTATAAAAAAAAAATTATCTTTGTTGAATGTGTGTAAATGGAATATACTTACCAAATAGGAAGAGAAATATTTTTGTATGGTAAGCAATAACTACTTCTCTAAGAAGCTTTGTAAAAAAAAAAAAAAAAAAACTAAAATTTTTGGAGGGAAAATTTTTAACCAAGAGATGACATGTGTCATTCCTAGTTTCTACTTTAGTATATAGTTATACATGCTCTAAACTATGGGTGAATGCTTATTCGATTAACTGAAAATTTCGGTTCACATTAATTAGATAATGGTCTAGATTTTGTTACTTAAATTAAAGCTAACAATTAAGTAGAGAACAATGTTAATATGGAAGTTGCTTATGAATAGTAATTGTAGCAAAATACAAGCAGCTAAGTAATTAACTGCAACATACAACATCAAAACGCTTTATCACGTTAAAAAGGGTACCAAATAGCAAATGAGCAACAGACTAATTATGTCTTGCAATTTGGCTTATGTACTTGCAAATTGATTGGTTTGGTTACGTATATTGGCTCAATTACCCGCATTTCGATTTGTGTTTATTGAAGTTTTTAAAAAGCCAGCCTCATGTGTATATGCCTATAATTTTGATATTGTAGTATTTTAACCATTAATATTTTAATTATTATAAGTATATGTTAAATGGGTCTAAGTCATATCCATCACAAATGTCCACTTTATAAGTTCAAGGAAATTTCTCCTTAAAATCATATGGCAATGAGGGGGTAACCACCAATGAGAAGTGCAGTTAACTACAACGAGTTTGAACACATTATATGCCTCCAAGATTGCAGAAGGTAGAACTCTTCTTTTTGTATTTAAAAATGACAAGACGCTATGGTTATGACAATGTAATTTCTTGAATCAGATTGTCAAGTTCTCATAAACCGCCTCACCAAATCACCAACCATCTACATCTCGGAGTTTGATAGTGTTTTGGAAGATATTCTGTCTTTAAATAGCTAGCAATATCAAGTATATTGTGTTTTTTTAATCAGGTCTCATGTTAAAAAGAGAGAGTATTGTTGTTGCCCATCATCTTGTTAAATTAGTGTCGTTTGGATAACAGGTTTGGGTCAACCATATTCTCAGTCTTTTTGTCCCTCAATTATTGCGCTGGCTTGACCCTTTTGTAAAAAATAAAAGAAAATAAAAAAAGTACATGCAAATGCAACATTTGTACTTGGTGCACTATTTATGAGTGACTTTGGCTTATATATTTTATTAATTAATAAATAACAAATGTTGTCGGGTACAATAATATGTTGTTGGATTAATTAGAAGGTATATTTGCATTAATGTTAACATTTTGTAATTTATGCAAATGAAAGATAAAAGATATTAATGGTCAAAATTGCATATTATGAACAAAACAAATTCTTATATGTGACCAGACACTTCACATATAAGGAATTAATTAAGAAATGAGGGTTACGACGATAATCAAATGGGGTTACCTTGATGGATAAGGGGTTGCCGTTATGGGAAAATGAGGTAATTTTTATAAACAAGTGGATGTATTCTAGTAATAGTCAAAATAAAAGACAGTGGGTTACTGGAATGAACAAATGAGATTATTTTTTTCTTTTAATTAATTGATGTTACTCGTATAATAAATTGGAGTTACTCTTATGGACAAATTAAGGCTAACCACTTGAATAATTAAGGTTATTCTTCTTAACAAATAATGATTATTCTTACAAACAAATACCATTGCATCATTTGATTAGCCACACACAAAACTTACTAAGGGCATGTTTGGATTGGAGGTAATATTTTAAGGGGTAATAAAAGTCAAACTTGAAAAAACATAAGTAATTAGAAGTGGTGTTATATGAGACAAGATGTTTATAAATGAGAAAGATAATTGTGTCATGAGGAAAAGAAAGAGATGGAGGAATTATTATTCTCATAATGAGAGTAATAGTTACCCACCCTCCCTCTAGTGTAACTATTACCCCAAAAATGAGGGTATTAGTTCTTTTTTCTTCGCCTCATACTATACCATCAATAAGTAATTTTCCTTACAATCACATCATCACTATCTCCTCCTTCTCTACATTCACTTTTATTTTGCTTACTTTGACTTTTATTACCCTTGTAATATATCTCCCTCAATCCAAGGATTTCTTAAATATGCAATTTGTTAGACTAAAACATACTTCGGAGTAATGCAAAAGTCAAGATGTTGCATGTATTTACAAATAAAGCATTAAGATTTGCAATAATTAATTTACAATATTAGAAATTTGATAGCCAAAACTCTAAAAAGACCCACCTCAATCTTAGCTGCTATGGTTCTGATACGCAATCCCCTGGTCAGAGGTGCTTTACTGTTATGATTTTACACTCCAAAAATTTTGACATTTTTCTATGCAATTATATCTTCCTTTATCCATGTTTCTGTACTTTCCTCTTTTTTTCCTTTCTCAATCATTACATTTCCCTATTTTGTTTTTTTAAATGCCACAATTTATTTATGTCATTGTTATGTAACCAAGCTACCTGAATTTACACTTCCATCTTTTTCAAAAATTGACAACGATAGCTCAGATTAACAGCAACAAAAATGCAAAGCTTTAGAGAATTGTACCACCACCCAACTTACATTTTCAGGTCTTTTTCTTCAACCCCCTCCTCCCTTCTCCCTTATTTTAAATGATGTAGACGGGATTTGATCCGAGTTCTGGTTTTATTAATGGTGTGTTCTGTTTTTTGTGAAAAACAGGGGAGATGAAAGTAGTTCGCGCAACATAGGTGGGCTTGAACACCCAGTTGTTTTCCACCAACAAGATGCGGTTGATTTAAGACGAAGTAAACTCACCTTCTCTATTTAACTCTTTAAATAAACTTTCAAATAATTAATAATAAAAAAAACCTTACTTTTCATAATATTTATTTTTTCTAACAACTTTCATTGTTCTGTTTCTGTTGTTCATAGGTGGTCTTTGTGGTCTAAGATCAAACAACATCGCCTTTCCTTCAAGTTTACCTTTTGAAGCCGCAAATGCGGTATCTTTTTTTTTGTTTTTTTCTTATAGTTTATGCAAAATTGAACAATACCCAGTATTTTAATTTCATTTTAAGAATTTGTGTAATTTTTGGGATATTTTTTTTTTTTTTTTTTGTGTAATTATGGCAGAATAATTACTTGGCTGCAACAACAACAGCGGCGACGGTGACCTTGGCGAACACTCGGGTGGTGGAGGCAGGGGAGGTGGTAGTAGAAAAGAGAGGGGTGGTGGGAAACAGGCAGTTAGAGTATTGGGGTGAGTCTGGTGCAATGGCAGATACCAGCCAACAGACTGATACCTCTACAGATGTTGACACTGATGACAGAAATCAGGTTTTTTTTTAATTTTTTTTTTATTTTCTATTTGTCTCTCTCTTATTTTTTGTGCAGCATTAAACCAACCATAATTTTATTATAATGTTTAGTTTTATTGTTGTCATATGATTTTGTACCTTAGTTTACATTAATACAAGTATGTAATGTATTATGGTGTAATGGTGTTGGTGTTGTTGCTTTATTGTGATTGTACATCATGCTTAAAAGTTTGGCTAGATTTTTGAGCTAGTTTGGATTTTGGTTGTGTTTTGTCTTGGTTTTGTATTTCTCGAATTTCATGTTTGTTTTGTCTGAATAATGTGAGTTTAATTTGGTTGTTTTTTCCAATGTTATGTTAAGGACATTGGTGGACAAATTTACTATATGCCAACTTATATTACCTGAGACCTTGGATTTTTATGACAACTTATGTTTGTTTGATGCTTCAACCGCGTAGTGCTTGGTGTAGTTGGTAAGGGTTACATCGTGTAACCTTAAATTTAGAAGTTCGATTTTTGTAGGATCTCTTATTACAATGCAATGAAAGGATATGGGAAAAAACTCAAAAAAGGAGTTGTCCTCAACCTTCTCGTTATTATTAGTAAAGTCTTAAGTGTACAAGGATCGAATCACGTATACTTATCACTGTACATTTTGGTCAACTATACAACATATTAAGTTAATACTCCTTGCATATAGCTACTTCATAATTACCGTGCTTTGCTATTGTCAAAAATAAATAAATTACCGTGCTTCCTTAATTACCCTTTAAATATGTCACACAAATTTTCTTTAAAATAGCTTGAATTAATAAAAGATGACTTGGTATGTTTATTAGGTCCATAATTTTAAAAAGCGAGCTTTTGTTATAGTAATTAAATAATACAAGCATCATGTACGTCCATATGAATGCATTGTGAAATTCCAACAAAATTTCAACACATTTTTGTGTGTCGTTAACCACTTCTCTTCATTTCTTTTCTAATGCATCCCATGACTCAGTATCGAGTAATTCAGAATGGAGCAGTGGTGGACTCAACAGATCAATCCAAGGAAAAGACAGATGACCAAAAGGTTATATAGCTAGATATAACACGCCATAGTTTGATATACATGCCTTTGTTTACTCTTACCTTTCAAATAATATTGTGGATTTGTTAATCCTCTTTTATTCCCTCAGACTCTTAGGAGACTTGCTCAGAATCGAGAAGCTGCAAGAAAGAGTCGTTTGAGAAAGAAGGTAATCATTATCTAATCAGAATCCATTCTATCCTAACACCGCCTTGTTTTATATCTTCTCTAATTATAATTGTTATGCTTGACACTATCTGTCCAAAATTGATGGTCGTATACTATTTTCTAACGTTTGAAAATTGTGTCACATTTCCTAACATAACAAGAATAATTCTTGAATTTTCCAATATGCCACTAATTAGATTAAGCATTACAGAGTGCATAGAAATTAATGTCAAAACTATAATCCATGGTCCTTTAGGGGTTGGGACAATGTTACGGAGTAGAATTTTTTTCTTGCCCGAATGCTTATTCGTTAAATCAACATGTTTTTTTATCTTAATGCTGTTAATACGAAATGTCGAACTATCTAATAAGCTCTTGCAATAGTACAAAACTGTACTTGTCAATAATTCTTGATGCTCCAAGTACCATTTCTGTTCCATCATGTGAAGTCCTCTTGTGTCAAACAAGAGTACTTCAAGGTTTATTGCACACTTGCATTACTATACAGTTTCTCTGTAAGCCTGTAAATCCAAGAACTCATAAATAGAATCTTTTTGTACCGAAAATTTGCATGTCTCAACTTCAAAATGGTTCATCTATTTGTCTTTCTGACTTTCCTGTACTGTTCCCTTTGTTAGGCTAGTATCTTACAAGGGAAGTTCGTACTTTGTTTCTGCATCTTTTGGCCTTTTTATTTTTTACCAGCCAGAGAGGTTATAAGGTAAATCAGGCTAGTGAAAGAGTACTGAGCACTAGAATAAAATAATATAAAGCCGCTAATATAATTTAAGGTACCTAAGTGAATATCTTGACATGATAATGTTTAATTAACTGTAAGCGATTCATGATCTCGTATTCTCAGGCATTAGAAAACTACACTCAGCCCATGTCTCATCTACAAAGGTGCATCTGTGCTAGGGGCATGTGTTCGTGTTGCTAAGGGGGTAGCGGTGAGGCCGTGAGGGGTACAGACTATATCAGCTTATATAAAGTCTCAAAATGGAACTTATTTGGTACCAATCATTGAATTTAATTATAAATTGTATTAGCCATTTCATATTTTTGTTTCTTATAGGCATATGTTCAACAATTAGAGAGCAGTCGACTGAAGCTTGCACAATTAGAACAAGAGCTCGAAAGAGCTCGTCAGCAGGTGCAGTTCCTGTACTATAAATTGTCCTGTTTCAATTCTTGCTTCATACACTTTAATACATTAATGTCTGATTTTTTTAGTGCAGGGTTTCATGGTCTCGGGTGTTGGAAGTGAGCCAGGTCATTCACTGGGAACTAATGGTAATTACTTTTACTATCTTCTATGATAATGTTACTGAATTGTACAAAAAGTACCCGTACCCATACCCATTCCTGTAAAGGTCCTGCGAATACCCCTTTCGAATTTCTGATTACCTTGCAAATGCAATGTACAGAACAATAGTTAGAATCGAACATACTCCACTCTTATTCTTTCTAATGGTCTTTATGAGTGAGACGGGCAACAAGTCACCCACTCCTCAATACGGAGTATATGTAAAATGTCATCCATAACAAAATAATTAGAATGTCGGTCTACAATAAACAAGTCAACCTATGACATAATATGATTAGCCGGTAGCCAACCCTCAATACAATTTTTTACATTGCATTGACCTCCCTTATTTGTGTTCACCTTATCTTTTCCTTTTGTACTGTAGGAGTTGTGGCATTTGATGTGCATTATGGGAATTGGCTTGACAAGCATCAAAGGCTGATCAATGACACAAGATCAGCTCTAAATTCTCATGTGTGCGATGATGAACTCCGAGTTCTTGTTGACAGTTTAATGTCACACTATGATGAACTATTCCGAATCAAAGCCATAGGTGCAAAGGCAGATATATTTCATTTGCTGTCTGGCATGTGGCAGACTCCGGCTGAGAGGTGTTTTATGTGGCTAGGTGGATTTCGATCTTCAGAATTGCTTAAGGTCATTATTATTGAGCACCCAAACATTAGTTTCTTTTCTCCCCTCTTCATTTCAGCTGAATTAATGTGCAATTATTAATTAGTTTGTGCTGTTTTGAAACATCAGATACTAGTGAACCACCTTGAACCTCTCACAGAGCAGCAGTTGCTGGGAGTATGCAATTTACAGCAGTCCTCTCAACAAGCCGAGGATGCTTTGTCCCAAGGAATGGAAGCGCTGCAACAATCTCTTGTCGATACACTTTCTGCAAACTGCCTCAGTCCTACTAATACTGGAGTTGTCGCCGATTACATGGGCCAAATGGCGATTGCAATGGGCAAGCTTGCCACACTAGAGAACTTTGTTCATCAGGTATACAATCTCATATAAATAAACAAGAGATTTTGATTGCCGGATAAGAGTAAACAATAATGCTAACTTCTACTTTATTCTTCATGTTAGGCTGATCTTTTACGACAGCAGACTTTGCAACAGCTGCATCGCATTCTGACAACTCGTCAAGCAGCTCGGGCACTTCTTGTGATCCATGACTATACTACACGTCTTAGGGCACTTAGCTCTCTATGGCTAGCCCGTCCCAAGAACTGTAATGCTTAGATCTTGGCCATTGTTGCTACCTATTGCCAACTTCTTAGTTATATGCTACTCGACTTAGTTGCTGCTTCTGCAGTGTTTAGATCAATTCTGACAACACTAATTTTTAGTGTACACGGCTATGTAACGCAGTACTATACGGCTATGTAAGTTCTTTTGCTAACAAGAAGGAAGTCATGTAATTTAAGGTATTATAACTAGTTGCAATGCATTGTGTAAAACTTGCTAAAATAGTGATGATGTCTTGGGGTTTGTTTTTTTCCTGGGTGTCCTTGAAAACTAATGTAAAAATAATAACGCGTAAGCATCTTTCATTCACGGTTGCCTTGATCTATACGACTATACTTTTAATCTTCTCTTACTCTTATTTACTTACAATCTTATTTTTGGGTGTTAAGACAGTTTCAATAACTCTTTACTGTATTAGCTTAGGTACAAATACGAACGTGTGAGTCTATATACAACACTTAACCAGTGTACGAATGATCGGGTTTGATACTTTGATCCCTAGAGGCTCATTAAGGGTCTACGGCGTATCTTTCAAAAAAAAAATAAAAAATGCAAGCAATTATATACAAGTAAATCATGACAGAATGAACAAACTGATACAAGCCATAAACGGACACCATACATTTTGTAGAATTAGAGTCATACGTAATTAACACTTTTAAAATAATACACAATTAGACATTTGTAATTTGTACAACTAACGACTGCTTTGGCAAACAAAGCATCGAACCAATCAAAATATTAAGCTTCATGTTTGATAAAGACGAAACTAGTTCAGATATAGTAACACAATTATACATAAACAAACAAGTAATAAACGAGATTACATATGTTTGTACAATGTTTAGGTGGTAGATAATGAGGGAATGAAGCAGGGCTAGCTAGCAACGAGCCATGCGAGTTGGGATTGGTGGCTCTCTGAGTCCTTCCCTATTCCATTTCTCCACATTTCCTTGCCAACCTATTCAAAAATGTTGAGGAGAAAGAAGAATGGATCTCATATTATACTCGATAAAAGATATAAACATATAAAACTACTAAAATCATGGTATAATTTTAATCACGTGGGGTTATTAATTCCAGATCGAGGGAGTAAAAGATTAGCGTACCTAAGGAAGGATCAGCTCCACGATTCTTAAGCTCACGGTACTCTTGGGTAAGGCCGCACACACAGCAACATTCATGAACAAGACAATCATTGTGTGGCTCCTGTGGCAAATTAAACATTTCCCTGAGTCTTCTCCTATATCCAGCTGCGTACATTGCTTTCCATCCGGTAGGAAGAAAAGTATAAAGGCAGCATGCTTTCTGCTGGGCTATATATAAGTAACCATACAACCATCAGCAACAGTTTTTTTGCTTTTTGGTTATGTTTTAATATAGGGAGAGTCACAAATTACGACAATGACATAGACAGAATCTGATCCCATGTCTTAGGTAGCTAATCTAGTTGATATAAGAAATTACATTAACAATCAAATAAAAAGGTGCGGCATATTATATATAGTTTCAGATCTGGTTTATCGATAAGTGATAGACACAAGTCACAGAATTACTATCTAGTTTGCTACTATTATATTTGGACATTTGGTTCAACAAACACTTATCAAGGTATACTTACAAAAAAATCACTTACCGTCGTCAAGAGAGATTCCACTTCACAAGTCCAAAGAGGTTCCATTTTAAAACTATACGGCAGTGTTTAACTCTCTTCTTTTCTCAATGTGGAATATACTTACATGTATTGTTTGGTAAATTTCTTCAACATTTGCAAAATATAGTGTTGTTTTCCAATACAAGTACATACACCTCCTGAGCTCGTAAGGCTCATATGTGTGGCATCACACATAGCGCTTTAATCATTGAAAATTAGTAAATTATTCGTTACATCGACTTGGTTTTTATTTTTTTATTTTTAAGATAATAATTTGAGCTAGTTCCAAGCATTTCTTGTATTGACTATTGACCAAGTGTATATGCCCGGTGATGAATTTTGCAACAAGACATCCACGTTATGTAATTAACTATTGTTCAAAATCTTGTAGTCAACTAAAAATCATCATCATCAAGGAATTATATATCGGATAATCTATGACAGAACAGCATATGAAAGAAAAATAAAGCGGTTAAGACGGCATATTAAAAAAGAACCATACAACATGCATGATGTAACGCTACCGTGACCAACTAATAGAATGTCAAAGATCAAAGAAAATATACTATACTATACTAGTATTTTATTGCTTACTTGTTGTGCCCCCATCAATAATTTCTGCAATCTCTCCCATGGTGATCATAGGGCAAAAACATGTCTTCAAACCTACAAAATTGAAGAATTACAAGTCATTGATTACACGAGATTCGATTATATGATTGCCCTTCAAGACTATACTAACTTAACTAGCTGATATCGACACAATTTGTTACAACACAAGTCATACATATAAGGAACAAAGTAAATGTAGGAAATTAATGGAAGGAGAAACAAAACGAGGAAGGAGCTGAGCTAAATCATTACAATGATTGCGATCAAGGCAACAGTCATTAAAGCCGGTGCTCCATTCTCCTTCAGGCGGATACTGGGATACCTTAGAAGGGGCTTGAAAGTTGTAGGAACTCATTATATATATCAGAGAGAGGATAATTTAGGCAAATATATGTTCTAACTGATTTGTAGCTTGTAAGCTTACGGCTACGTTATTATTTGCAGGGGGTTTATATATAATATGTAATGGATGTAACGAAATTCCATGGAAATGGTGTTTATAAATTTAATAAGTTACTATGGAGAATACAGGAATTTAGTCAAAACAAGTTAATATACCAAGTACAGCAAGTACTTCCTGTTTTATTAGTTGGATATTTATTTGGTCCAACGTCTAAATCGTTAGACCAAGCATTTGATAGTAACTAGGGTTTTATATACATAACACATAAGTGTATAAAATAAAGACAATTACTAGGCTACCACTAAGAGAATTGCAATTTACATTAACCGAAATCAGAAAAATGATTTTAATGAAGTAATGTTTGGTCGAAGACTTCTCTTTATTGATAACAAGCTGGGCATTAAATTAGCTAGTTCTATAAAGCCGCAATGCACGCACAGTATTTCATCAATTTATTACGATAGCTAAGATTGCATTCACGTTAATTCTTAATATAAATTTAATGTATATGAAGACTTTTCGGTGGCTACCCAAAAAGTTTCGCTATTGTATTTGTTTTGCATCTTAATTAATGATTTCTTTTAGAGGAAAATGTGGGATATAAATGGATAATTTTATGAAAATAAATCAAGATCCGTCAATGTTGTAAAACTTTGAGGAACATGTCTAATCATACAAATTCAGAGCGATTAAGGTATGCCAATGTATTGCATTACCCGCCCTTTGAACATGACCCAAAAAAAAAAAAAAAAAAAAATATCACTCATTGATTAATCTAGCAATATCATCATAAAACAACAATCTATCACTTTGACTCAATAAATATTTTTACCAAAACAAAAAATATATAACCTACAAAACTGAAAAATTCTTTTGAGAATATCTAAAATTACTAATTTTAAACTGATTCAGTAATAATATATTGATGTTTGAATTGAAATAATTTGATTGCTTATCGATCCAGATAATTATGAACATTCAATATTATTTTGGTTATTACAATTTTTTTAAGTAACCCATTATTAGACAAATTCCAATGTATTTATGTAATTCTATGTTTCTAGATAATGACATAATCTGACATCAAAATGACATAATGTACATTTTATTAGTAGAAGATATTCAACGTGAATATGAATGAATGTCTCGCATGGTGCCATACCCATAATTTATTCTCAATCTTGTTAGTCGTCACGCAGAAAAGTCAACCTATGGAAACCGATTTTCGTTTCAATCAAATATTTTACAAAACAATTTTAAATTTGTGCTAAAGAGATACTCAATATGATATTATATATTAAAAAAAATCATCGTTGTAATAATTGGATACTTATGACGTGCAAAAGATGATAATAAAGGTGTTTGGGTGCGCAAATGGCTATCCCATTTGAGATGATTCTAAGATTATTTGTTTTTTTTTTAGTAATTTCTAATAAGTAATTTTAATTAAAAATAATTTTTTAATTATTTTAAATATATTTTTATCTTTCAGAAATTATTTTTTGATATTTTCGAAATTCTGGAAATAAAAGTAAATAAAAAATAATTTTTTAAAAAATTACTAATTAAAGATAATTAAAAAAAACAAGCAATCTCAGCCATCCATTTAAAAAAAATTGTGGACTACATTAGAATTTTTACCCCATTTGGGCATCTAAATGTCCAAAGGCCCATGTCAAAGTCCAAAGCTTATGTACAAGTCCAAAGTTAATCATTAATTAGACCCAGCAAGGCAGTCCGACGGCCCAAGAGGCCCAAAGCACAACTACCATGTAATTATCACAGTGATGCACGTATATCGTAAAGATCATAAACACATTTTTGTCTCACAATTAACTTAACTTAGGCATGGAATTGAGTATTCTCGGACACATCTCAGCTTAGCTTACAATATTTGTGTTCAGGTAAAACGAGGCTCAAGATCAAATCTTCCTTCGCTAACAACTCAAGATATACGCCCCTTAGCTTGGCAATTGTTTATGTGTAAAACAATAGGAGTAAATAAAGCAAACAAATATATATATATATATATATATATATATATATATATATATATATATATATATATTATTTTTTTTCATAACAATTATAAGAAGTATTGAAAACCTTTAATCAAAATGACGGAATTATACAGTGAGAAAGTTTACATCTCACAATATAAAGAGAATAGCTTGCAAGAGAGAAAACTTCAGAGGATATATTAGCCAATTGCTCATGAGTGGGAATCAATTATGGCTTGGTGTAGTAGAAAAGTCTGCCAAGGTTGTGAGATCAAATCTGAGAAATTTTGGAGTGAGGATTCCCTTAAAAACCCCCTATTCCCAAAGGGCCTAGCTTGCTAATTAGGGCTAAAAAAAAAACTCATGATTCGAAATGTAAGAAAGAGATATTAACCCTTTCAAGACCTTTTTAGTGTTAAATTGACAACTAATTCAATTTTATCCTTTCATCTTAAACAAAATTTTTCAAATGGTGCAATTCCTTTCCTGTAGCATTTGAAAAATTAGAATGTACTTGTGGTAATATATGGGATATATATTTACAAGAAAAAAAAAAGTAGTTGAAAGAGTTAGTGGGGATGGATAATTATTAAAGTGGTTATATTTAATTTAATTTATTTATTTTAAACTAAATAGAATTTGAGTATTTTAGTTTTGGAACAACGTGATTAAAACAGACTTTTAAATTTATATATATTTTCTCCATTTTAAATTAGATGACACGTTTTGACTTTTGACACTATTTATTAGCTTTGTTTAGACCAATATTTGTGATTTATAGATATAAAAAAAACATAGTCATGTGGGATCTTGTTAGATTCATTTCAATGTGTACTTAATTAAAATATAATTTTTAATATTTTTTACAATAAGATAATTAAAGATATTTTCGATTGAACTTTTACATTTACAAACTTGATAAAAGAAACGTGTCATCTAATTTGGAACAAGGAAGTAGATTAAATGTCGCATGATAGGCCAAACACATGAAGCACTAGCCACTAATCAATAACATAGTACTAAAACAGACACTAGTAATAATACGTGTCAATTCCTGTTATTTTCCCTCCAACACTCATCTTTTTAGCTATTTCAATTCATTCGTTATATAAAATATTCACTATATTTTGATTGAAATATTCCATCTCTTATTTAAAATAATCTTTATATATGTATATTAAGTTTATAATTTTAATATATTTCGATTGAAATATTTTATTTATTGATTGAGCTATTTCAATTCTTTTTTTCTTTTTTTCTTTTTGTGATAGGAGCTATTTTAATTCATTCCTTATATAAAATATTCACTATATTTTGATTAAAATATTCCATCCCTTACTTAAAATAATTTATATATATATCTATATTAAGTTTATAATTTCAATATATTCTGATTGAAATATTACCATGCCCGTTCAAAAAAAAAAAAAAAAAAAAAAAATCAAATTACCATGCATTATACTAATTATTACGCATTGTGATATTCATTATATCATTGCATAAGATCTGGCCTACAAAGCTACAATGATTCTATACCGTATTGCCATTGTAATATATATACTATGCCATATTACCATGCTGCCATGCATTGTATTATTTGTCAGTCATTGTAATATTCTTTGTTATAAAATATCACTGCATAAGATCTAGACTAAACGAGCCAGAAACTTCTTTAAGTTAATTAAATCAAATCAAATCAAATCAACATTCTTTATATTAAGCAAATTATATATCATGCACAAGATTTACCTAAACAAGCTGCTTGAATATTTTTTGATATTATTATCCAGGTTAAGTAAATCAAATCAATAATCTTTACATTAAGGTAATCTAATATTATGCACAAGACTTTTGCATAAAAAAAAAAATCATGCACAAGATTTACCGAAGCAAGCTACTAGAATATTCTTTACATTGAGTAAATAAAATCTACATTTTTTATTAAAAAAAGAAATCAACGCCATTTTTAATGTTCATAAATATGCTATTGCCTTTGCAATTTCTACTCATCTTCATCAATTCATAAATATATTCTTATGATAAAATTTTCATACTACTAAACAAATGTTATCAGTTATTTCTGATAAATTAAGAAACATGCCAATTCGACAAAAGATGGCAAACCAATTAACATGCTCACTTTTTAGTTAGAGGATTTGCATAATTATTATAAATTTTTTGAACCTTAATATAACATTGCTACTTTATACAGTTTTTAAAAAAATATTTCAGGAAAAATGTTTTGAGTAACACTTTATGGAATAAGTATGCGGATCAAATGGAAAATTATTTGAACGTGCATCCGGGCTGTCAGTTATATTGAAAGTGTAATTCGCAAAAATAAAGAATTGTAAAGGGATTGGTGATCAACTACCTTTAATTCACCATTCTACTTTTATTTATCTTTTCGCTCAATTTCATGAGTTTATGTTTACATTTTATATTATCAATTATCATAAATTAATTAGGTCTCCAATATTTTGTTCAATATCTTTTTGTTTGTTATATATAATTGGATTATTAATGTACAATTTGTTTTAGACTTATTGTGCGTGGCACAGGTGTTAAACTAGTAATATGATACTTTTCAGTGGGATGGAAAACATACACACAACATAGGCACTTTTTTTTTTTTTTTTTTTTTTTTTCCTCAAATCAAGCCTTGAAATCTTATGGTTAACTACCAAAATCACAGCATTACAGTTTGTTTTATTATAGATAATTAGATATACTTGAAATTCAATCGCTACGTAAGGAAAAATTACGAATTAGATTTCAATCTAGTATCATATCACTAATAAATAAAGTCGGTCTCGCAGCCAGCCCACGAGACAGCGACACTTGTCATTTCAGTTTTTCGCCAAGTGTCACGCCACGTAGGCGACAAATAGGTATTATTGTGATACATATGATGGTAAATAAGCGAAGTTTGGATAGATTTTTAAAGATAAAAAAGTTGTATAGTGTTTTATTATCGATATACTTCTAAAATTTCATATGTACAAGATTAATCATAACTTTTAATAAATATTTTATAATTCGGTACTATTTTCATCATAAAATTCTTTTTAAAAATTTCATTAAA